AAATAACTCCATTTACCAGACCATTATCGATATTTACGCACCAGTTATTAGTCGATTCGAGTAGAGCCGTTACAGTGCTGTAAGTAGGTCGAAATCCCGATTGTTGATGCGAGAATAGATCATTCACTGACAAGTACTCGTAAAATTGATCATATACGATTTTTTCGAAAACTTTTGCAACACTTGAGATTATGGAAATTGGACGATAATTATTCAAATCTGATTTGCCACCATTTTTAAATATAGGAACAACCCTGGCCAATTTCCAATCACGAAGATAGATGCCCGTGGATAGTGATTTGTTGAATAGTTTGGTTAAGAAAGGTGCTAAAATATCGGCTGCAATTTTTAGTAGTTTACCCGGAAGATTGTCCAGACCAGTAGATTTCGCAACGTTTATATGTTTTAGAAACTGCCTGACTTTATTAATGTGAATTTCTTGAAATGAAAAAACACAATTTGGCCTTTTAATGTACTGAATAGGATTTACATTGGATTTACTAATGTCATTCGCTAAATTTTTGCCAACATTGGTGAAATGAAAGCTATGTGGACTTGGTGCTACATTTTGGCCTCAGGTCTCCTCCATTCATTTTTGAATCGGTGGCGTCCGTTTTTCATTGGATTCTTTCAAACACCTACCACGTTCACCCGTTGTTCCACTACCTCGATGATTTTTTAACTTTGGATCCCCCGTCGTCTCCAGTTTGCCAAGCCCATGTCGACACTTCGTTACTGTCTTCAACCACTTGGGTCTCCCTCTTAACCATGAGAATGCGAGGGCCCCGCAACCTGCTTGGTGTTCTTAGGTATTGAGCTCGACTCGGTCACTCAAATTGCTAGGTTGCAAGCCGAAAAGTTCAACCGTTCCATGTCACTCCTCCAGTCTTGGTCCAACAAGCGTACTTGTCATCGTGTCAACGTGCAAAGTCGTCCGTCCTGGGAGAACGTTTTTGCGCCGTATGATTGATCTTCTGGCTCATTTTCGCAATCGCTCGCACCCAATTCGCCTTAACGTCGAGTTTCGTCGGGATGTACACTGGTGGCTCTCTTTCTTTCGGGATTGGAATGGCATCAGCTTCTTCTTGTCGCCTGGCGTATCCCAGCTTCCTGACTTGTTCGTCGCATCTGATGCAGCAGGGTCCATCGGTTTTGGAGCTATGGGGCGTTCCCATTGGTGTTTCGGTTCCTGGTCGTTGCTGTCCTCCCCACAATCCATCGCGTTTATGGAGCTTCTGCCTATCGTTGTAGCTGCACATCTCTGGGGGGCAAGTTGGTCAAGTCTACAGGTCCTGTCGATTTCAGGCGCGTCCTTTGATACGTCGGGTTGCCTTCACCTCTTCATCAAGACGTCAAAAACGGACCCGTTCCGCCGAGGCGTATCTCTCTCCATCGGTGCGTCGGGAAAGCGCATCTGCGCCGTATCTGCGGTTCGTCGTTACCTTCAGGTTCGAGGCAACGCTCCCGGCTCACTGTTCGTGTTACCCGATGGCTCTCCGCTAACACCGGTGGTGGTCAACTGTTGGCTCCGTGCGATTTTATCCAACTTGGGAATACGTGGTACCTACTCCAGTCACAGTTTCGGGATTGGCGCGGCGACCGCAGCAGCGTCTGCGGGCATCCCGGATCACTTAATTAAGACATTGGGTCGTTGGTCGAGCAACGCGTACCTTGTTTACATTCGGACTCCATCGCCCGTGCTAACATCAATAACTGCCGTGCTGGCATAATTAGAACCATTTTGGAGGAGGGTTCGAGTGCCTCGAACCCCTCTCTCCAGCGTTGCTGGAGTGGTGCCCTAGAGAGGTGTTGTTCTCGGCACTCGAGAACAGCTAGGTTAAATGTAAATACGTTACCAAGTCGTCGATACCTAATTTGTGAACGTGGCCATGACTAAACGCCAACTCTCGACCCATGGTCATGGCTTCGACCGAACTTCCTCTTCAGTGGTACCACAAACAGCCGAGTCACTTATCAGATTTGCCAGTTACGATCGAAGCGAGCTTGTTAATTGGATTTATGAATTAAGAACGAGCTGAGATATGGAACTTGTTATCAGAATAGGGGGCCCCAGGGACAGCTTAGCAAATGCTAATGAGGGCATTTGCATACCCTACCTTATATAAGTTGTTTACACCAGTAGCTCATTCTCAGTCGTGACATTTAGTCGTTCCCATCCCCCCTCACCCACGGGGGTTCTTAGTCGTTCCCATCCCCTCCCCCTCACCCACGCCCATCCGTAGCCTTCCCGGAGGAAGCCCGCAGCCAGCCCCGTCGCTTGGCTCGCTGCCCGTCGATTGCCCAATCTCAGTTAAGTACCTTTCCCTGTTCATGATTTGGCACATCATGCCAGCCTCACTGGGTTAACGACCCTGGTATCTCACAATCCTTCGTCTGTCACATCGTCCTTCCCGTCCTGTATTCGCGGCAATCAGCGTCAACAATCGGCCCAAACTCGTGTATGTGTCATAAGTAGTTCGTTATACAGTGTCTCTTTCGGAGCGGGTCTTAGTGCCCTTGCTCATCTCCACTTCCTTAGGAAGTGTGTTTGTGGTACTATAGGGGAGAGGTGTTGTTCTCGGCACTCGAGAACAGCTAGGTTAAATGTAAATACGTTACCAAGTCATCGATATCTAATTTGTGAACGTGGCCATGACTAAACGCAAACCCTCGACCCACGGTCATGGCTTCGACCGAACGTCCTCTTCAGTGGTACCACAAACCGCCAAGTCACTTATCAGATTTGCCACTTACGATCGAAGCGAGCTTGTTAATCAATATTTAAAACAAACATACCTTCGTTAACGTCGGCTCCCTTCTTTTAGCCGATTCTTTCGCCGTTTCTTTCTTGAAATTTACAAAATCTTGCAAAAATGCGAGCAAAAATGAAATATATTTGCAAGAAATTTATCAATCATCAAATCAAGAAATGTTTGCTATTTCGCTGTCGCCATGCAGTTGTTATAATGCAAACTTTAAATTGGACCAATCAGTGTCCGCTATTCATGGCAGTCCGCCATATTTTTTAGGTCAGTGAGGATGACCACCCATCGTTGGTGACCCACGCCCGCGATAATTGATGAACTTTAGACTTGGCTAATACTTTCGTTTCCCCGGGTGTAAATATCCGGGGGGAATTAGTACCCTCGCACGGCGCTTCGCGCCGTCGGCTCGGGGACAATGCAAATGCCTAGCAAACTTGCATAGCATAACCTGTTGCTATGGCTAGCTTCACCACTGACAGTATTATAATTATACATACAAAAGCATGAAGTTATTAGCATTGAAGGTCATGTTTCGCTCGCTACTCTGGTTTAAATAAATGATTACAAAGCCCAGTCGAATTGTAATCAAGACCCAACGTTTCGACACTCCAGTCTAGTGTCTTCATCAGGGGTGATCTAAAATTGCAATCGTGGCTTCTTTGTAATCATTTAAACCAGAGTAGCGAGCGAAACATGATTGATATACCTGGTTGCAGTGAACGAACAAACTTTAAAGCATTGAAGGTATTCATATAAAATCACCCATGCCAACAAAGTAGAAATAGAATATTTAGCTGACCTTCAAAATGCATTTTCCTACCCCATGAACAGGTCTTAGGGGCTTTTTACGTGATGCATGTGGAAGATGGGATAATTTTGAGTATTGACTATTGAAATAAGTCACTAGGCTAAATGAAAGTTCAAATGCTGGTTAACAGAACTGAAATGTTGTAGACCCTGACTTATTTCAATACATCGAAATCGCCCTGCCTCGTATCTCATCTTGCCAAAGCAGGATCATATAAACAACCCCTTATTCAGCAAATTGCACATGCTGGCTTTGATCCATTGGGGATGAGGCAGCACTTTCCTTGCGATAGGAACTTCTAGTTATTAACTATTGCTACGCTAAATATTTCAATACCGACAATGGATTGCAATAATTTGCAAAACAGTTATGTTCTGGGGAGAGGGTGATTGGTTGGGTGCGCGGGGGAGGGGGTACGAAACATTTCATCTCCTTTGAGGGGGGGGGTATAAAATATTTTCTGACACTTTTGGGGGGGGGGGGGCCAAATTTTATGGTAGAATTCTGGAATACCCTCCAGCCCCCCCCCCACATACTTTATGACCGGTCCCTTAGAAGATATTCAAGTTTTTTTCTCCAAACGAAATTCCGATTGTTTCGCCAAGCGGTGATTAAATGTATGATTGTTTTGGTTTATGTAATGTTTTGACGGCATTTGATCCCCCGTTCGAAAGGTTATTTTGTGAGGATTTCAATCTTATGGTGGTTTTCGTACTCTTTGACGACAGGACGGAATATTTATATTTCTGTTCGTGGTATCTTACAAGTAACACCCAGAATTGGCTATAGATTAGTACAAGAATATTTATATTTCTCTTGTAAACATCCAGACGGCGAGAAAGATATTCGGCTGAATCAGCAATGTTTGTGGTTAACTTCCGTTTCCTGACTTCCTCTGTATTTTAGTTCTTACTTCCGTTTCCTTTCGATTTATATTTTTGACTTTTCGATTTATTTTTATGCGCCGCGGCTTTGACTTATCATTTGGGAGTTTCGCTTTATAAATGGAAGTTAGGACTTGCGTTTAGTTTTCATATATATCCTTTGAGGTTTGAAATGTATTTTGCATTTTTCAAGTATATGCTTTAAACTTTCGTTTTATTCATTTGAGTTTGAACTTTATCTTGATATTTTCAATTAACATTATATTGAGAGTTATAACATGTTTATATGATGTTTGAATATTTCTTATTGACTTGAAATAATTTTGACCGGAACGGAACGCCATAATGACGTCAAACTCACGCGTGTATGTACAATTTGACCTGTAGAACCATTTCTGGCATTTGCAAGGTCATACGATACAAAGGTCGCATTGTTTTGACGGTTTTCAGTCGTATTTCCGGTTGGGATTAACTCACTTCGAGCTAAAAGTCGGACAAGAAATGAAAATATATTGATAAAAGATACAGATTTGAAGATACAGGCTTTAGTCTAGGACCTGCATATGAGTTTGTATGCGATTCATTTAGGACAGGTAATCTCAACTGTTTTAGGGTAAAATAACCATGGCGGTCAACATGGCATATGTGCGAAAACCTGAATCCGAGGCGAAAGTCCTGAAAATGACCCCGCCCTGAAACGGCAGTGTCGACATAGCTCTAACTTCCGAAAGGGAAAAGCGATAGCCTTCCTGAAGTGCTTATAGTGTTTAGAAGGGTTGCTTTTAGGGGTGGTCATTGGAAGGAAAAATTTGTTTAGGTAAAATGCTGATTATGCACAAAATAACTCATTTATATGCCTGGCAGAAATTAAATTTTCTTATTTCCTAAAAAAAATTATCATGGGATGAAAAACTATGCTTAGTTCAATATAATATTGTAGATTTCATAAGGATTGTCATTGTTTTCTTTTAA